GTAGCGTATTACACGCAAGAGAGTTCCCATAATTATCTCCGATAAATGAATTAGTAAATTGATTTTCTTACGTGCCGGAAATTTAATTAATTCATACACGGCCGCGAGTATTATCTAACGGAGGCCGAGACAAAGAGGAGAGGTTCGAACCGATTCGTCTAGAAGTCTAGACGGTGATTTTGCCACACGAAATCTCGGAGTGGAAGAAAAAGTAGAGGCGAGTCTGCGTTTGGAATAAACGTAGTTTCACGGTTCGCGCGAGAGATTCCCCGTTTCGCGCGTTCATGTGCCGCTTAAATACGCGCGCACGGCAAGTACGTGCACTTACTTACATACGCGTCGTCGGGTTTCCTCTCGCTCCGCGTGTAACACGCGGCCCGAGTGTGCGTTCACTCAACTCGCGGACCTCCCTCTTCTTGTTTTCCTCTTTTCCCGACCCTCTTCCTTCGCGCGTCGCCTCGTTTTCTCTCTCCTTTTCGCCGGCCCGCGTTCATTCTGCTTCGCTTCGAGTAGAATCGCCTCGCGCCGAGTATCGCGTTTCAAGCTCCAGTTTGCCCGCGCCCCGAAACAGGGACATCGGGAACAGCGACGAGAAATCTCCGCGGATGACTCGCTACTTCGCTCCGTCTTCTTGCCATCTTCAGTAATTTTTAAACGAAACGTACGGAGCTCGGCAAATTGTTTTCAATCCTTCGGCTTTTCCCCGAAATTCGTATCGGAGATTCGTTCATATCGTTCAGCATCCAAGTATCGATATTTCTGTTTACTCGGCCAGTTTCGCAGTTCCGTACTCGTTAGCAACCGTTGTATCAATTATTAGACGTGTGCCTTCGTCAGATGGATGTGGCCTTGCCTCGCGTCTCTGCTTCGTTAACCAGCAATTGCGTATACGTCGAAGAAAGTACGAAAGCGCGAAACAAATAAACGTCCAAGTGTTTTCTTTATTCGGCGCACGTGTAAACGTTTTACTTTCGGTTTCTGTACACGCTGGGTAGAAGGAATGCCACGGAATTCGTGGTGATCGTTCTAATACGCGTCTGGTCGCATCGCGTTGGCCACGACGAACCGTGGGGTCCTGCAACCGGAGCGTGGCCCTTCGACCCTTGCCCTCCCGCCACGTTCTCCATTAGAGAACGCTACACTTCGGATCTTTATGCAAAATCTGGCATTTTTCACAGCGGTTAATAAACAGATTACATGGAAGTTTGAGCATTGCTGTTGATGTACAGTCGCGTGTATTTAATTAGAATTCAATGCCGATCGTTACTCTCTAAGTTTTTCGAACGGAACGAGATTTCTCGTTAGAAAAATGGAAGCAGCGGTACATTTCGTGAACTGCTGCATGGACACTTGGAGTCATGCTCGAGTTCCGAGCTACTGGTGTAGATGAGAGAAATCTCGGACCGCAGGTATCAGATTTCTTAATAGAAATAATTAGGCCGTCGCTCGTGGGGTATCGAAGGGCCGATTCCGAGGAGGAACGTCTCTGTAGGAGATTCGAACACGTGTCCTACGTCCCATCGAGGCCACGTGTGAGGTGCAGGATGTTTGTATCAACTCCCGCTCGGCGTTCGGTTTGTTCGCAGCCAGAAAATTGATCGATCGTTCGAACAGTAATTACGCGCTGCTCCTGCCAAGATCAATTATTCTATTCTCACTGATTAACTGCTGCCGCTGTCAACTTCGTGCATATCGCATTTCATAAAATCAACCGTGTCTAATGAGAACGAGCGTTATCGAGCTGCGGCCAGCATTCGTACGGGTCGTTCAAATTGTCGGATCCATCCACTGTGCCTGTGTATCCTCGTTCTAAGGCGTACGACTAATTTGTGGATTCCGATTCGCGCGTACTCAGTCGATCCGGTACACTTATCCTTCGGAATCGCCGCGTGAGACGCGCGATGAAACCGTTACGGTCGACGCATAGTACGGACCAAGAGAGCGGACGAGTAAAGGGGTGAAGGGAAACGACGAAAGGGGATGGCGGGAAGGAGGTCGCTAAGGGGGAAGAAGGCACACGTCACTTAGTCGAACCACGTGCTCCGGTTTCTGGCGGCTGCTCCTGCTCAGCCTCGGTCTTAGACTCAGCCCTGGCGGCTGCGTTTAAATTTAGCCACGGAGCTTTAACATCGTCGTGTCATAGGACAAAGAATATGGCGCGTTGCACTCGCGCCAACATCTCCACGAGCCTGCCGTGTTCTACCCGTGTACGCGACGAGTTACAGACCCGGTGGTAAACGCGTTTACTCGAAGGTCTCTCTCGATTTCGTACGGAGGCTCCGCGGGGGAAGATTTTTAGTCGTTCCCAATTAAATTTCTCTCATAGTTTAGCCCGATGTCTGATCTTTTTATTAATTCCATGGTGGCTCGATGAGAATAAAGAAATTGCGCCGAGCACCCGGGAGCACACGCCAGCTCTCGCAATGACGCAAGTAACTCGCTGATCGATGAAGCGTGTACCATGTGTACGTGTATAACTACCCGTTTTATGGATGATACGTAATACAAGCGGACTCTCCATCTGTTGCTAACGCACAGTTCCTGGTCCTTTCGCAGGGATCATTTTTTTTTCTGGAGCTAATCTTACTACGAGAGACCGTCCGATCAACAGACATCGTCATGTAAAATGAATCGCGTAGAAAATAAAATTCGGACAGAGATTACGTCGAATTCCTCGGTCTGAGGACTGGCGTAGTTTTTACGTTATAAATGGATATAATGAATTGAAACTATTAAGAAGATCAGTCTGATTAGTCGTGGTTTGATATTGGCCTTTCATGGGAAACGCGTAGGTTTTGAATCGTGAGCTTTGCTGGGAATTAGTTTCGCAGTGAAAATGAGGTACAGAAATACACTGCCTTTGCGAAATACAATAGACTTTGCGAGTTCAATAAAATTTGCGAGATCCCCGGCAAATCTGTGAGCAGAATTATTAGAGAACAAATTAACGAGCGTGTATAGGCGGAATAAATGCTCTTATGGGCGCATAGTCGCTCTGCCCTCGGGCGCGTCGAGCTACGGCCTCGATCATGCACGTGTGCACGCGTTCTCTTGGGGATGCAGGCCCTCCCGGATCGTTCGTACCATGGATCTAGACACCTAGACGGATAGATCCGGCGTAAAATCTGTCCGCTCGTTACGGTTTAGCTGGAAAATTCGCTTCCTGTTTTTCTTGCGAATCTTCTCTTACGTAATCGTGAAACGTATCTTGAAATTCGATATCGGTCTTTTCTGCGAAGTCGCTCGGTACGTGCGATATATTTATTGCGTTCACTGAAAGACGAACGCTGTCTCATTAGTTCATAATATACTTGGCGCTCTCGTTTGTACGGGTGGAATTCGAATTTTCAACGTGCAGCGTGTCGTCGTCTATTTCGCTTCGTCGTAGACGCGTCACCGAAGCGTTTTTCACGAATTTCGCATGAAATTTTGAACAAAGTTGCCGTGTCCCCGCGAGCAAGGGTAGCGACAAGTTCACGTAAGAGCCCGGGGACCCTAGGGAGCGATGCGACGGTGACGGAGGCAGAGGCGGAGGAAACGTTAAGACACAAGGGGAGAAAGCGCAAGTGCAGGCGGGAGGCTGCAGCCGGCTGTGCCGTCAGCTGCCGACAGATTTATCGAGTGGCACGTGCCGATCCGGAGCAATGTCGTTTTATGCCTTCCTCTTTTCTGCTCGCGCCGCTTCGCCGAAGGCAAAAATTATTGTCGCCTCGGTTTCGCTCTTAAACCGACGTTTCCTCCCCCTGGCCATCGACCATTGACTCGATCCGGGTGATCCGAATCCCCTGCGTCGGACGCCGAACAGCGGCGTCTTACCCTGATTATTCAAATGGAATCTTCGACTCTGTGTATTCTCCGCGTCGAGAGATGGGAAACTAGAAATTGCTGAATATCTGGAATATTCGACTTGTACGTTGTTCGCGTCGTTTGAAGGATTCTCGAATGATAGAAAATCCTGTCAGATCCGGAGCAGGAAATTTCCCGGTAGCTTGTCGGGATCGCACTGGTTTTGGACGCGTGATCTCATCAATGAATCATTCGATCTTCGAGATTTGGCACGGTTTCCGAGCTGATAACCTCTGACGCGCGTCTTCTGTTGCAATAATGATCGATGGAGGTGGAACGTGATTCGAAAAGCTATCGGTCGACTCGACGTTGGAAAATTATCCCTTACAAGCTTCGAACTAAGCGAATGAAAACAGAATTAAAATCGATGGATTTCTGGCGTCGAACGTTCGTTATTAAGTCTTCGGTGTTAGAACAATTTTTGGAAACAGAATATTCGAATTAACGACATTTCCTTTGAAGAAACGTGACGTCTTCGTGGCGCATTTTATGTAAGAAAATTGACTGTTCAAAAATGATAAACGCTACGTGCAATTTACGAAACGACTCGAAATATCAAAAGTTGACGCGTCCGTGTATAAAAATCCGTGGCCTAGCGATTAGAATACGAAAAATTGTGAGACCGAGAGAACTGTCTGAATTTTCCAACTCTGGCGAAGCATCTGCCACACGAAAATTTCCATCGGCGACGTTCGCCGGAGATTTGACAGTAGGAAGGATAACGATTTTCTCGATGTCGGCATGGAACCGTATTAAGAGTGACTTAAATTAATAACGACTGCTATTTTGGAGGCGCTTCTATGCTCCGTTAACCCGATTAAAGGTGAATACGGTGAGAAGCGAGGCGAGATCGCATAAAGAATTCAGACGAATCATCCAGCGTGATTGGTGCCTTCGCTTGATCCCATTGCCTGGAATAATTATGGAAACTTGCGCGTTACGGCTCTGAGCGCCTGTGTATCGCCGGTACTTCGATCCGAGCCGGCTTTAAAATGAACAGCCGGATATGAGTACAGCGATACTCGGGGAAGCAGATTTCTGGGAGGAAAAGGGATGGAATCTGAATTACATTATGTCACGTTACTCGCTCACCGAGTTCGGCTCCTACCCGATTTATATCCAGTCTTTTTGAATAAAATAAACCCAGCCGCGGATATTTCTATCTCGTTCGTCATCGTAAGATTTCAATTATTCCCGATTTTTCCATTTCCGGGTGAACACGAACATTTTTATTCTTTCATCGTGTACCGTTTCTTCAAATATCGACAACAAAGTACCGTGGAACGGCGGGAATGGATCAGAGAGACGCGATATTCAATTAATTGAACTTACAACAACAACAACAATTTCGATAAAAACGATTTAGCAAATTATTATTGATAATCCCTTTTCCGATCACGATACATTTTCGAATGACCAACGTATCTTTCTGTATGTTTCAGGACTGTCGTCGTGAACACAACACCGACCCTGTATCTTGGCTTCTGCATGCGATAGTAAGGTAAGACTCTTTGACAAATTAACAATTGCGACACTGATCACTGGCAGCGACTTCTACGAATATCAAATATTAATTCAGCACCACTAAATGACTTTAACGATTAGATGTAAATCTACTGTGACTCCGATCCGTTAACATGATTCTAATCGTTCACAAATCACTGTTCCCTGCTCGAACTTGATAAAACGTGAGCCGAACGATATAAGACTACATCGTTCGGTGAGGCAGTAACCCCCCTCACAAATCACTGTTCCATGGCGACTCCCCTTATTAATTTTATAAAAAATCAAATTAGCCATCTCGTGAAAAGAGGCTCATCAATCCGTCTCGTATGATATTTTACCCTTTTTTCGATGCACCTTCCGACTCTCTATGCTCTTGTCTCGTCCGTCTCCTTCTTCATCGTCATCATCGTCGTCGTCGTCGTCGTCGTCGTCGTCGTCGTCGTCGCCGCCGTCGTTGCCGTCGTTGTCTCGGGTAAGGTTAGTCGATCGGCGTTCGACTCCGGTGCAAGCCGGTTGGACGTCCGTACGAAAGAGCTGGTTGGTCGCGCGCACAAAGACCATCGCAGAAAAGCTATATCGGTGGTATTTTGGTTTTGGCTCGGCTCGACCCGCGCAGTTCTGGGAGTGGAGTTCTAAAAACAGCAGAGGTAAGTCCTGCCTGCTTGTGCCTTGTGCTCGCTCGCCTTTGCCTTGCCTTGCCTTGCCTTGTGCGTCTCTCGCCTTGCCACATCGGCATATTCGGTCTCCTCGTCCCGGCTCCTCGTTATCTCTTATCCTCCGTATAACAATAACAACGACGACGACGACGACGATGACGAGAACTCCGCGGTATATCCCGGTGACGAGGACCTCGCGATCACGCGGGAAGAACCCCAGGTGTTCTCCGTCGAGCCAGCTTCCGTTTCTTCTTCCCCGGCCATGTTTCTTCCGTTCTCGAGGCGCGGCTCTTTAGCGACTAGCCGACGCGATCGCTTCACCGCTCTTCTTATAACTCGAGCATACTATGCCGGTTTCATTCCCAGAAGGCACCCGGTGGCGAACCTTCTTTTAGGCACTCTCGCGACCGCCTCACCCGGATTTATTTCTTCACGCCGAAATTATTTTTGGGATCTTTTCACGCGGTTTGTTAATACACCGCGCCGTCTCTTCTCTCTTCCCTGGCCTCTTCCTTGCGGGGCTGTTTCTGTCGGACCTCGCGGTACGCGCCTGCCGTCCCTCCATCAGTGATCGCACGACGATCGGTAACGTGTACCGCGCGGGTCCTACAATTTCCTGTCCCATGAAAATGTTCATATCTTTTGTAACCATAATTTCGAGCCAAAGTGTCCCTGAATCGTGCCGGGAACTCGAGAATTGACACGGTTTCGCGTTAGTTCGGAACCGAGGGCAACGAGTATCGCGGCCCTTCGTCTCCCTCGAGACAAAGACTCTGAGCGTCTTCTCGAGACTCCACGACGGTGTTTTACGACTGGATCTTGGTTTCGATCGGTCTCAGTCCGACGGCAGAGTCCGACTGCTCTTGGGACACGTTCGTTTCCGCGGTATAAGTTCGGTGAATTCGTTAAACATGTTCGGGTGTCATCGTACTCCGTGATATATCGTCGTGCGATCGAACTCGAAGGGTGAAATGACTCCCTGGTTCAAATCGGTTTACCGCTGGCTGGGGGCATTCCGCATGGCCGTCCGAGACATTTCGACGTGAGTTTCCCACTGTATTCTCCGACACTCGTTACCGACGCGCGCATGATTACGCTTACAACTTAATTTTCGAGGGTAAAAGAAATCTGAATTAAATCGATGCGCCACGAACGTTTTATTCGGAAATCTCGTCATAATCGTTCTGAGTATCGGATGCAAACTATGGTACCTAATCGGTCACGTCGACAGTTAATGTGTCAGTCACGTAGCCGAATGTTAATCGCGTAGTCTCATAATCTGTAACCTTGCCAGCGGAATTTTGACAGTCGTGCCTGGGTCTCGGTAGCGATGCATACCGTTTTGAAACCGCCCGACGCATACCTTTGTCCGTTAACCCTTCGGAACGTGGCGTCTGCTCAACGCCACGTCTTCCAAATAAACATTCTCGAAAAAAAATTGTTAATAAATCGGAGGAACACGCGTTTTCCCGACGTCGAGCAATCCGTGGTATCTCGTGCCAGGCCGATCGAGAATTTTCCTCATTGGAGAATGCCCAGTTTGCTTCGCCAGATACAGTTGGTTGGAGATCGAATCAAAGATCAATTTCTTTCCACTTCGTTTGCCACGACTCCTGTTTATACTCGACTGTGACGGAGCTTCTTTTCGAGCTCGGAACTACAGTTTTTAAATAGATACGTTTCACATCAGACGCAATTGATACAAAGACACCTGAGAAATTCGATTAAACGATTCGATTAAAAATTGTGTTCCGACGGTGTTTGAACGCGTGCTTCGGGAACGGGTGTATAAATCTAGATCGGCGAACGAGAAACACGCAGATCGGACGTCACGCTCGTTCTTCTGCCCTTTGCTCGCTCGTCACCTTGATCGCCGTCCAAATCGAACGTAACTACGACGAACTTCACGCTCGCATCACCGCGATTGCCTCGACGTTCGCGCGGTAATAAACCGAAACGACGTAGACGACGTTTTCGAGAAGAAAAATAATACACGTCACGAGTGATCGTCGATTTGAAAAGAAAATGGTTATATTTTTCTCAGCGAGAAGAAAGTGAAAAGTCCGATTGATTTGGTCGACGGTAACGTGTACAAAGGCCAAGAGTAGTGTGCACGTTAAATTAATTCGCACTTTCACTAGCCTCTTTACACGCGTTTTATCTTCTTTCACCTCGCATAATCTGCGAGAGTTATTTCAGGGTAAGTTCGCGCGGGCGTGCGCACCGCTCCGCGTGTATACCTACACGCGAGCACGGAAGGGTGAATGAGGATCAATTTGTAGCTCGTCACTCGAGCACCTTGAAACTGTGTTATAATGATCGACGACGGGTTTCACCCCCTTTTTTTTTTAAAGACGCACTTGCCGCAGGAAAACTTTCCTCGGCGAGAAACCGAGATCTTCGTCCGTTTCGATTCGATAGGGAGATTCTCGAAATATCGCGCTACCAATATATATATATCTCACCCTATTTTTGCATTTTTCATTCCATTTATGGAGAACGAGGGGACACGACGAGAGTTCAACTTTCATTTCATGTTTACCCGTTCTTCTAAATAAAAAATACAGACCATACGCGTTCCCGTCTGTTTTGCACAGACGAAGAAGTAAGGTTCCTTTAAATGATGTTCGAACAAAATAGGGAATACGGTGTAGATGGAAAGAACCGATTAGCAGCGATATCTAATGAGCACGAGAACGTATAGTCACTCGGTTTCAAAGAACACGGGTCGCGATTAACGATGCAGACGCGTTTTTTCTTGCCAAATATTTATTCGTCAACATCTGCCAATAATCGTGGCCGTCTATATTCTTTACACACGAATTTTCTCGTGGTTACTCGCTGATCGAACAATTGCTCGTCGAGCAAACGATACGCTCGTTTAATCGTCGTTGATTCTCTCGATCGAATAAACCGCGAAGATGAAAGTTTCGCCGTTAGTCGAAAGGGTTGGGTTCTCCTCGCTCAGATTCCGAAGACGAAGACGAGAGGGGGGAACCTGTTGCTCCCCCTCGTCGTCGATGAAAACTCGTGTGCCTTCGCGATAATTGAAACCAGTAACTCGGTACGAGTAAAAGAGAGGCCACCGAGGAATCTCTCCTCGGTGTAGAGGCGAATCGAATCGAGATTTCGTCCGATCCTCGCGGTACGAGTCACCTGGTGACGTCACCGTCCGGAGTTTGGTCTCGTTCTCCTCTCCCTTTTGGTCGCGTGCCAAGTGCGTAGATCACACGTGCCTCGGCTAAATGGCACCTCTCGCGTATCCGCCACGGATTTCGTCTCGTTCAAAAAACACTCTCCGCGTTTTCTTTCCAATCGTTTTTAGCTGTTGTACGGTGTCACTTGTTTTCAATTTTATACTGCGACCGCAGCAGAAAAACGTTCACCCGTGCATTTATGTTTATACATATACACGACGTCGGACTGCGTACGTAGTCGAACGACGGATTTTTATCTTGGAGCGATTATTTTTTAATTCTCGCCTTATTAATTGTGCCGGAAAATAATTTGAAAGCTCGCCACCGAACCACTCTAAGCCGACCTAATTGACGGTATCAACCCGAAATGCGTCGAGAACACTTATCGAAAAGGCCTCCGTTCGATTACACCGGGACACGTGTTCGTATTTTATGAGCAGAGAGAGGGGTTCGAACGGGCTGAAGAGATTTTCCAGTCAAGGAAGCCGAGACGTGGCGTCAGGATGAGCGGATATCCGGTACGGCAGCAGACGCTGCCGCACCGCCTGGACCCTCGGATGTCGTAGGGACAGGGTCGCGCAGCCGTTTAGATTCGTGGGCGAGTTCGGTGGGCTCCGCCGCAGACGAGATCGTTTGGCGGCCACCTGGTATTTTCCTTGTCTCCTTAACGGGAAGCTGGCTCTTCGTGAAGACGTCTCGAGATCGTCGTCCGTCGATCTCGCCTGACGGGCGAACCCTCCGATTCCTCGGGGAGGAATCGCTCGTTCGTCAGAACCCAATATTATTTATAAGACCAGAGACTTTGATTTGTTCGTACTTCAATGCTGTTTAATTAATTCCGCGAACAAATCGATCATCGTTAATTCCAAACCGTAAAAGCATATATTAGAATATTAGAGATTATACGTCGTAGAATTTTAAAAAGAACCTTGCGCCTCCGTAAATATTATATTTTCTAAAAAAAATGTGTTCGTCGCGCCAAATATTGGACACGGCGTTTTATTAGGGTTCTCAAAATTTTGCCGGAGATCTTATGACTTTAAAGCGACGGAGGATAAAAATTATGGCGATATTCGTACATATCCAAGAGGCATAGGGTACCACGACGGTGTCCCGATATTGCTATTGATCGCTGCTCTCCAAAGGTATTTGTTACGTGTATTGTTTTTCCTTCGCACCGTCGAGCAAAAGGAGATCACGAGGGCCGACATCCCTTTTACACAGTGCTCTAAGGTATCCGCGTCTAGTTAACCGTTCCCTTTTTCCTCGCTTTTTCCCCGCTTTCTCCGAGCTGGAGCAGCACGCTTTTTCAACGGCTACGCGGCTCGATCGAACACACGTCGCATCCTATGGGATCGTCAGATTCATCCCACGTACCTGTTACGCGTTCACACCGTTCTTCGTAAATATTCCGAACAGCTGATCAATTTTATGACCGTGTCAAATCGTAAGTTTTCGTCCGAATCGGTTTGTACGAATTCCGACTCGGAAAAAGCGTGTTCTCATTAATTACGAGATTAAATCTAATCGAGATCGACCGTCTATCAACCGAGAATTTGTTATACGAACTGCAGTCTCCGTACTATTATATTATAACCATATCCTGTCGACTAATAATTCATCTTCTTTCCTTATTCCTTTAATCACATAATTAAATCTCATATTATATGAAAATCTGCTATTAAGTATGTATAACAGCAAATTGTTTCGAGCGAGGACGAGTCAAACTATCGTAGTTGATTCACATAATTGGTTAAATTCAATTTCCCGTTCAATGTTTGATGCGACAAGGAGGAAAACGATCCCATTTTCACGATTCCTTCCTCGGTGGAAAGTAAAATCGCGGCGATATCGAGCGGATTCGAGATACTTGGTTTGAAAAGATCGTCTCGATTCATGTATTAGAAATGATTTTGAAACTCGGTTGTTCTCGGTGACTGGCGTGTGGCGTTCGATTCGTTATTAAATACTTGAGGAGAATCTGGGGAAGTCTATCTTCATTACCGGATGAACGACGTTTAACCGTGTGACCCGGTCGATCGTCTCGTAAATAGAACCGGTGACCGGACTGACAGAAACGAGACGGACGGTGGAAATAGAAATAGCCGTCGGTTCCTGTAACTATCCGCGAAATAATCGGCATTATGATTAACCACGTTTCAGCGGGCCGATTATTCCGGCCTCGCGACTTGCCACCGTGACGTTTACTCGATACAGACCGTAACGGTCTCCCGTATCATCGACTCGCTCCGCGCGGCGATCGATCAAATGCTGAACCTCTCGATACATATTCACGATCATGTGTCGCACAAAATTTCTGTGAGCTCGTCATTTCGTATAAAAGTATTTCGTGCCGGTCAAATTCTCGTCGAACTGTAAGTGCAGCAGATCTTTTTATAACACTACGAATAAATGATCAGCTCGATACGAATTTGGCTACGGATTAAGTGCGAGATGAATATCTCATGA